ACTCAGTATAACCCCACCTTGATTTTGTCTGCTACAAGGTGGGGCTGAGAGAAACTCTGACAGGCTTTCAAGATTCTATATTATACTCTATAGCAATAAAGTGGTATTCCTGGAGTTGCTGTGGTGTCTGTTTCATGACCTGACCTACCATGAAAGGCTGACAGGAGATCACTGTTGGCAAGGATTTGCCCTGACTCTGATAGTGAAGGTGTGGGTAAAGCTTCCTTAATTAGAGATTGACTTAATCTCAGAATAATTTATTCAAGATCAATCCCTCTTATGATGGAGGCTTGGAAATTAGCATCTCTCCTCTTGCCATACTGATAGGTAGAAAGAGCAGAAGTGGTGCTGCTGGGATTATTGGATAATTTGAAACAAAAGGAAGTAATGCTGGAGAAGCCAAGCTAGACAATAGAAACAAAGCCATTTTTCCTCTTTTATTTTTCTTATCATAATCAATTTTGAAGAGCTTCTTGTGTTTTGCCAAAGCCTCTCATTGAGGGAACACACTGGAGGGGTTGACTTTGTCTCTTGAGTATTGGTCATAGTGGGATAATCTGGGCCCTCCAGGGTTGAAAATAAGGAGTTAAAAATAGCTCCAAAAGCTCAATTAGGGCCCAATTTCCCCATCAAATCAACCACCATGAGATCTGCTTCCACCAAGATGTACACAGATACCAAGATATATAATGCCAGGCCTTTTTAGTAAAGGCTTGTGGGCACATTTCCACCACATGGCCTTCTCCAAGTCAGTTAAGCCATAAAGAGTGACCTTCAGGTGCTGTGTCCTTACTGCCATAGTAAGCTGGGTACTTAATGGCATTTGCAGAGAGGAGCCCTCAGTGCCATTAAAATTCTTGAAGTAGTAAGTTCAGTGTTAAAGGAACAGGCTAAAAGCTACTAGAGAACCAAGATGCCCTTTTTATATAGTTCAGTACAAAACTAGGCAGGATTCCCAGAAAAAGCTTTTCTATATGAATATTCTGAATAGGCTACTGCATTTGTGCAGAATCCCCATCATGTGACACACAGAGGCCACCATGAAAAAGACCTAATCCTTGGGAGAAACAGTACCCATGTTTTAAATGTGAAAAGGATGTGATTCCACAACATTCATATTGATTTTCTGGACCGATTTCATGAAGGCTGTAGGAAAGAATAGGGGGTTGAAACCCCTGTACTATCCCTGGGTATCCAGGTTGCAGCACTAGCAAGAGCACGTTGCTACAACGATATTGCACATGCTGCCTGCCACTGTTCTTGAATCTGTCTTACTTGGCAATGGATAGTGAAGCTTTGATTATATCACAATTAGATGCTGAAAAACATGACTTATGTATTCCTTTATGCAAAATGTCACAACCAGGCTGCTGCTTACTTGGTGCATCTTCTCATAATCAGTTTATATTCATATGCTGATGGCTGCCTGTCAGAGGGACCCTCTTTCTCATTCTAACTGCTATGGGTCTTGCAGGAGAAGCCATTTACCGAGGGCTGCTGGTGAAGCAGGCAGGAAAAGGACTCTTCCTATGTTCCTCCCTGATTGTTTTAACACTCTGCGAACGGAGCTGCAATTGAGGTGCATCCTCTGGGCTTTCAGAAAAAGCATCAAGACCAATCTTCTTCATGCGGCATTATATAATTCACGTTTGCCAATTCTGTCGTTTTGGTGTCATTTTTAGTTTGTGATTATTGTTGTTTTATGTGCTTATTTTTATAATGTGCATTTTATTTTATAATGATTGCATTACTTCATTGTTGTAGACTGCCTAGTGCTTATTTTAAATACATTCATAAAATGTGTAATTTAATTAAATTAACTAAAGAACTGATAGTAGATTACTGTTGCTGAATTAAAGGAGGTTGTTAAATAATGAATACTTGTAGATATATATGCAGCATTATAACAAACTGCCTGATGAGTGTATCTTAGCCAGAATGCAGTATTATATTACAATCCACTGAACTGATCAGTCCAAGAAATATGTTGCAGTTGAATCAAGCCTACTATAATACTTAGGTTTGGAAAGCTTGATTTTTTAAAATCACTTTTCCATGTAATCCAAAAGGGTAGGCAACAGCTAAAAGCAATGTTCTATAGCAGCATCTCAATCAGTGTTTCTCAAACTTGGCAACTTAAGATGGCCAGGAATTCCCCAGCCAGCTTTTTTATTTTTTATTTTATTTTTATTTGTTTCAAATATTCTGAATGACATGCAAGTATTGAAACAGAACTTTTGAGGAAAAGCTGGCAAAATACATGAAAGGATTTTTTTATTTAAAAGTTGTATGTTTGTATATATATATTTAATTTAACTTTGTATATTTATTTATTTATTTCGCCATCACATTCACTGAAGCAACTCTAGAGGTGTACACAGATAAAAGTTGTAACAGGCATACCGTAGCTAACAAAGAAAAATAAAAACCATCTGTACACAGAAACAAAAATACAAAACAACATATACAGAGTGGAGTTACAATTCACTCTGACCCAGAGCCTGTTGAAAAAGCCAGATCTTTAATGATTTCCTGAAGGACAACAGGATCAGAGCTGTGCAGACCATGTATGTACTTTTAAATATATCTGAAATATAGAGGCCCCATAGGCCAATCACCATAAGTTTTATTCATTTGTTTTCCAGGGAAAATGTTACTCTACTTAGGAATATTCAAAGTCATGTGTCAAATGAGTAAGGAAGTGTTTATAAGAAAATGGCAACCAATTCAAACATTTAATGTAATTTATATAATCAATTGTCTATGGGGCCTGACACTCCCATAGTACACCCTGTGGTATGACTAGTAAGACCCACCCAGAGAAAGAAAAGCAATTGGCATTTGGGAACAAGCTGGGAAAGCAAATTGGTAGAGGGACCATTTAATGGGAAGCTGTAGTAGCCTGCAGCTGAGATGAAATTTTCTAAAGATATTAGAAATTTTAGAAAGATATTTCTAAAAGTGTTCAGTTTCTCCTAATTTTGTGTTATCTACAAATTTGATGCTCACCTCCTCAATCCCTTCATCCTAATCATTAATAAAAATGTTAAATACTACAAAGCCCAGGATAGTGCTCTATGGCACTCCACTTGATACTATTCACAAATCTGATATAGATCCACTTGTGAATACTCCCTGGATGAGTCATTCAGCCAATCATGAATCCATCTAATAATTGTACCACATAGCCCATACATTATCATGAAATGCTCATATGGTACATGAATTTCAATAGAATTCAATTGTTTACATCTAGATGCCACATTTCTATAGAATTAAAATAAAAATTCAATAAAGATTATTATTTTTCATAATGATTATTTATTGTCTATAGGACACCTATGCATTTTTAAAGAAACAAATGATTGGGTTCAGCTAATGGAGATGTAATGTTCAAAATGTATCATTAGTTTATATGATAAAGTCATCTCTTCTAGTGGTTTCATTTTGGAAATAGTTTGTTTCACATTTGATTTTGTACTGGATGATTCATTGATGTTTGCAAATGTTTTTTTTTTTTAATCTATCAACAATTTGGAAAGTACCTGGAAGAGTTGGAAATGAATACTGTATACTTTGTATATTTTTATGACACTACATGCCTGAAGGACACCAATTCTCCCTGTACAATAGTCTGAAGAACTCTTCTCTCTTTCTATGTTTGGACAAGCTCTTCATCACTGGGAAATATTAGTAAATTTGGACTGGATTTACTAATTTTAAGTATGTAAAGTCAACTATGAGTCAAGCTTGACTTCTAGTGGCTTCAGGGATCTATTGGCACCACACAAGATTGGTGAGGAGATAGTAATGTGGACTACATGTTTCCTTTGCACATACAAGAAATAGCTGTGCAGAAAGGGTTATTTAGCTGGCTGAGACATGTATTATATATTCCTTCATACCTCTGTTTAAAAGAAAGTTCTTAGCAGAGCTTTGTTGATTTCATCATTGTAATTGTTAATCATTCTTGTCTGCTTCTTATCTGTATTCTTACTTGTAAGCATTAAATAAAGTGGACAATACCAGCTCCCTAATGGTTGGCAAGGGAAGGGGGAACAAAAACTGCCTAAGAGCAATGTTACATTGTTCTCATAAACAAAGAGTCATCTTCCAGGCTATTGACCAGATATGTCCTCACACCATCCCCTGGTGGTGTCTGCTTAGATAGCTTGTCTTCAGTAAAAGTATTCTCGGCAGAGGTTCCACTGTCTAAAGTTATGATCAAATTTCTGATAAGAGGTGCTACCAAGTCATCTCCAGGTGTTATCATTTATACTCCCTCTCTCTTAAGAAAAATATAATAAGGTGGCAAAAACTACCAGATAGTTTGAACTTTGGTATAGGCCCAAAGTCTTGGGAGGTGCTATGCAACTCCTGGCTGTACGTAAGTCTTGTTTTGATTAGTACACAAGGGACATAATGCTTTGGTAAGTTTTTGTCCCTTTTCCCTTTCCCTTCCTTCCCTTCCTTTTCCTTTCTTCCTCTCCGTATACTAACATTTTAAAATATTAAAGATGTATTAAAAATCACAACAACAACAAAAGTCTAAATAAAAAGCCCCAGATAAAAAGATACACTTTATGCCCTCTTCTAAACAACAACAATCAGGGGGCCAGCCTACAGCACACTTTTCCATAACATAGGACCTACAAATAAAAATAAAAAGCCAAATTACCCGTGATGTTAAATGTATCAGTACTGGCATCTGTAAAGGGGACTCCACTGAAGATCTAAAGGCACAAAAACACTATCCAGAAATAGGCACTCCTGCAAGTAATTTGGTCCTAAGCTTTGTGCATATGGAGATTAAAAAGTAATAAAAAATAAGATAGGCCTTTTAGCTTGATTAGTAGATTTTGCACTGACTTGCCAAAGGCCCCCCACTGTCTGGAGAACAATAGTGACATTTATTTCTAGCAAGAAGTAGCAAATAAAAGTTCCATAGATCTGGATAAAGGATACAAAAAGGATAGGAGATAACAGAAGTATCTTCTTACCTCTTAGGCGATAATAAGCTTGGTGGCTTGCTAAAATTTGCTTCACTGATTCTTGAGGGCAAACCTTCACTCCAGTTGGGATAAAAGAGGATCTCTTGGTTCGATGCTTGGCCATATCAAATATTCTCCGAATAGTTGATACTTTAGACCTCTTTGCCAAGTTTTCTGACTTTTCAGATCCTGAATCATCTGCCAGATGTTTGGCTTCGTTGTGATTAATTTCATTAGGGGTTTCTGTAAGAGGAAAGACACAAAACCAAATCAATAAAATGCAATGCAGAATTATTTATACCTGTGTATTAATCTTCTGATGATAATAAGAGATCAGTTCATGGATATAACAATAATGCCTCAAATCCTTATATTTAATTTGCTTGTATCATGAGGAAGAAGTTACTCCCCTATCAGTGCAGTGCAATTCATATTTATTTATGGAGTCAGGAAGGAACCGTTCTCCACACCAAAGTCTTAAGGCATCCTTTCCTTGCCCACTACCAACCAGATGTGGTAGGATTATGGCTGTCAGACCTCCCAGTGAGCATAGGAGTTTGTTGCCTCATTTTGCAACTTCTGCTTGACAACCTTACTCAAGGCACAGGAAATTATTTACCCTTGAGACATTGTTTATTTCTTGTTAGATCTGCATATTATGCTTCATATGGTTATGGGCATAGACATTTTGCTATGATGAAAGAAAGACATTCCTGTTATCACCTGAGTCTAATCCTACCCATAGATCATTCACTCAACCTCCACAGAGTCCCATGCCTCTTCTAACTTAAAAATGATTTTCAGAAAGATTGTTCAAGGCCAACCTTTGGCAATCTTCATTTTGCTGGAATGTCTCTGACCTTGACATGCACAACTGAAGTCTGGCTTTACTTTTATAAAAGGAAAAAAAATGGTTACCACTATGGATTTATAAAGAGGGGTGAGGATAATAGGGCAGGGCAGCATGGGAGTTAAATAGCGCATTGTACTTGTGCCCTATGCAAGAATAGGATGCTAGAACTATAGACTTTTGTCTGATCCAGATTTTTAAAGGAAGGAAGGAAGGAAAGTGCCAAAATTGAGGGCAGGAAGATGGAACCATTGGGAGGATACAAGAAAATGCAGCAGTGAAGGGGAATAGAATGAAGTATTACAATATGGCAACATAGAGAGAGGAGTGAAACTGAAAGGTCAGGGGATGATGAGGGGGGCAAGGGAAAATAGTGCAACAAAGAGAAAAGGTCCACTTGCATGAAATAACAGGAATAATCAGACCTCCCAGTGAGCATGGGAGGAATTAGTACATAATTCATGCAACTTAGTATAGAATTCATGCAACATTTTAGCATAATTTATTTATTAGGACTAACCAATATGCACAAAAGGGCATACAAACTTTTGAGTTCTCCAGGTCTTTAACCAAGCCAGAAATTATAAAATTGAGGGGATAGGGAAATATTAAGGGATGAACCTTGACTGCAAAATTAAAAAAAAAAGATTTGAACGTGCTTATGATTCTAGGATGCTAGGAGAGCTGGAAGGAAGAGCTTACAAGTGGATTTCTAAACACTACATGCCTATGTCAACATACGTGTTACTTTCCTTCTTCTGTTTTCCTGATGTTTCCAAAAACTGTTTTATAAAATTATAAAATATAGAGACAATGGGATAAAACTATTCTTGTAGAAAATATAGGATTTGTTGATTTTTTTTTTTTTAATCTGCGCTCAGTCGTTACCGACTCTGCAGTGACTGCTTTGGACGAGTCCTTTGCAGCTTTCAAGGCAAGGTGTTTCAGAAGTGGTTTGCCCGAGCCTCCTTCCTAGAGCAGAGCCCAGCT